TTATCTGTCGTGTAAGTGTAGTGCCTTTTAGGGATCGCCATAAATATATCTGGTCGATGGTGATCATGGTAGGGAGGGCAGTCAGCTTGACAACCGCTGACATAAAGGCACTACATCCTTGTTCGTCCTTGTCTGTCCTTTGCTAGTCATAGTCCGGTCCATTAGTCCTGTGGAGATCCTCGTACCCTTTAGCACGCGAAGTAATAAGATTTTGTTGTTCGTCTATAGAGCAAGTAGCAGCGTTCTTAAAACCTATCCCCGACCCCCTCTACTGGTAACTCATGCCGGAACCAGCGCGTGCTCTACGTAGGCTACAAATTACACCAGCTCTCGAAACGTAGTTCGCTACCGCCCAAAGGCCGATTCCGTGATATTGACACCGACTTTCTGGCATGTCGCACACGCCGTATTTACAAGCGGACGGAGTGCCCTCTTTATGGCCTCGTTTAATAAGTCATCAAATTTCATTGCTGCCAAGTAAAAAACAGATAAAACATGCATTTGCATATATTTATGGGCGGGTTGCGGGGACCATCAATGGAACGAGAAATTTCAGCGTTTGCGCTCAATAAATTCGAATTGGGACAAACTATACGGGCGGATGATATGTGGCTTTATTGGTGGGCACTGTGTCCTTTGTGGGGGTATAAAAAAGGTATTCGATTTTCAGCCACGTCGTATACTACTTTCAAACAGAAACCAATTTTTTATATTTTGCTTCAAATGACTAACAAGGTTAAGTTGGCGCACAAAAAAACAATTTAAAACGTTCGCTGACGAACGATTCGTTTTTGAATATAACACAGTGCAACATGAAAAATGTAACCGCAATTTTGATTTCATGGGCGAAAAGTACTCATCGAAATAAGCTAAAACCCATTTGGGATTCTCTGGTTTAGCTCGCGTTTATCTATTTGTAACGGCCATATCTTGTGAACCGATTAAAATTTCACTATCAAGTCTTCAGTGATTATGTAGCTATGAACCCAAGGAACTAAATTGACAAATGACTCTTGCACACCTAGTACACCTAGCGCGTTTAATAAAATGTTCGCTCTGTTTTCGGTTTTTAACGCGCTAGGTACACTTCTTCGCAAGAGCCATTTGTCAATTTAGTACCCTACAAGGTACACTTGGAGCAAAAGCGAAGTACCATAAACTGTTGATGAAGATCAATTATTTATACGTTCATATATTTATCCGTACATTGTCAACACGATAAGAGGAGATGACTACATTTATTTGGAATTTTTGTCGTGACTTCATATGTGAGATTCGACTCCCCTACATAAAAACATTTAGAAGTACTTTAAAATTCTGTCTGACTTAAAAAATGAGTATATTTAGATTACAATTTATCGCACTATTTGATTTGGACTGGAACTGGATTATACCACTTCAGTCTCGTTTTAAAATATATATTACTAAACCACTCAACCTTTTTACCAGAAAAGCAGCTTACAAATCAAAATCATAAACAGTATGTGCTGAGCCATCGCGCTGACTATTGTAAGTGTTTAAAACTAAGTTTAGAATCAGTACTCAGCAAAAGTTTCCTATCTCTAGATATTCATACTCACAAAATATGCCCAGGTACGCAACATATATTTTGTGTGCATTCCTTGTGTGGTGTCAGTATGCAATTTGTACAAGAGCTCACGGTGATTCCCCTTCTGTGTGTTTACTAAACGACGCGCCAAATCAGTGTGGGGCATTTTGCCTGTCCGCACTTAGACCACTGTTTGATGGTTTCCAAAAACTGGACCAAATAAACGATCAGCAGACAGAGCTACAAATCAATATTGAACGAAAACTGCAGGCGTTGGAAACCAAAATGGAGCTCATGACGAATCGGAGACCAACACCAATAGAAAAAGATCTTACTGAAATTAAGGAATCCATTAAAACTCTTAGCGCTTCTTTTCAGACCAAGCCAAGAATGAGGGAAATACCACCGCAATTCGAAAAAATCGGTCGCAGATTCTTCTACATTGAAAGAGAAAGCAGACAGAATTGGTTTGCTGCATCAAACACATGCCGCAAAATGGGAGGACACCTGGCGACAATACAAGACCAGGAGGAGATGGATGCTATAGCACCAAAAATTCGGGATAGTATCTATTGGGTGGACATCACCGACCTGGCCAAGGAAGGAGAGCACGTTTCTTCACTGACCGGAAGACGACCACCGTTTTATAATTGGAAGAAGGGCGAGCCGGCACCCATCAATGAGCATTGCGTGAATTTCTATACTGCCGAGATGTGCGATGCCAGGTGTAATGCAGAATTCTTCTTTATTTGCCAATATATATATCAAATCCAATGTTTTCTCACCCTTTGTATACGACATTAATTTCTGGTAACATTTCCTGAGTACTGCACAGTAATAAAAATTGATTATATCGAAGTTTAAATTGATTCTCACTATGGACGGCCGTCCATGTAGTGACGAAGCGCACCAGGAGAGTGTGCGAAGGCGATAGTCCGATCGTAATGAGTAATACACCAATCGAAAGGTATTGCAAAAACTTAAAGGATTGCATACCAAGACTTTAAGAAAATCAATTGGCTTGGCAGAGAGAGCGGTGAAAGTGAAAAAGTGAAAATTTCGAAGTTTGGAGCTGTTGGGGCCGGTGGGGATAAATGCCCCAATGTTTTAGTTGTATTCCTTTTGAAAATACCCGTCGAATGAGGGCTCATTTGTCAAAATCCGACGCTCCGTTCAAAAGTTATAGCCAAAATAAGATTTTCTTCTTCTTCCCAAAATGAAAACTTAATTCTGTTTGTCAGTTTGTCCGCTTGTCAGTTTGTCCAAAACATGTTTCTTAAGTTTTGAAAATTTAATATTTTAGCTTTTTTTTATTTTTTTCAAAAACGGCTCTAACGATTTTCTTGAAAACTTTAAACTGTATAGCCCTTGAGATTCCTTAAATTTTGGTAGCTCGAACAACTAAAGCTTCCTGAGTATTGAATTTTGTGTGAGGGTATCCGAACTGTATTTTAGGGTCATGGAATCAGTAAATTTGCACTTAAGAGTTCCATATAGGAATCTTTTGTTCTACGACTCTTGGAAAAAGCCGCTACTTTAGGGGAAAAAAAATTAAAAATGGCTAAATTTCGTTAGTTTGTAAGTTCTACACTACTAAAGGTACAGACATGTGCTATACCTCGTTTAAAAGGTATTTTGAAATACTTAAACGCCTTTTTAACTTAATTTGTTTAAATACAATGGCTTACAAATTATGAGTGACCAATTTAAATTTAAATGTAGGGGAGAGGTCTGTAGGTTGAGACACCTTTTGTTTTTAGTCTCCCATTTGGACATTCGCTTTTGAAACTTCACGTGTTAGGTACCGATCGAAAGCTTAGTCTTTTAGCTGTAAAAATAAAGCAAAAAAAAATTTTTTTCCCTTGGGAAAACTAAAAATTAATTTTTTTGAAAAGTGCCAAAAAATGACAATTTGAAAAAGAGGTCTGTAGGTTGAGACACTTTTTAAAGTCAATAATACTCACACAAAAAGTACTCCAAACTATAAGGAACTATTTATTTATGTTAATTTAATCAATTTTAGCTTGTCCTAAATCATTTCCCATCCATTTTTTAAGAACTTAGACCAAATAACAATCAAAATCAAAAGGCTCTTTGAACATTCACTTTTCCCCTAATATCAAAGAAATGTACTAGGCAGAAAGCGACCTCTGTTGGCCTCAGGCCTTATTGTATGAAAAACGGGTGTCTCAACTTACACGCTCAAAGTGTCTCAACTTACGAAAAAAGGGAAGTTTCGGGAAAAAATTATTACTTTTGTTCTGACTGTCACATTAAGCAGATTATTTTTTTAATTAGTTAACAATTAATATACTAATGTTTTAAATCTCTTACCAAGTTAATTTAAGGACGTTTTTAATTTTAAATGAAATTTTGAAAAAAGTAGACAACAACTTTTTTGGTGCAAAATGGTACACGACTCTCACAGCTTAAATCTGGCTAGAGCCTGGCTTATAATGTTTTCCCCAAAAGTTTTGTCACTAAAAAGGACTACAAAAAAAAATTAAAAAAAAATTTTTTAGTGGAAAAGTTTTGAGAAAATTGAGTGTCTCAACTTACAGACTGTCTCAACCTACAGACCTCTCCCCTATATATTAGCTCCTATGAGAGCAAATGTAAACAAACAAAAACTTCTGATATCAAATAAAAACACCTCTTAACGAGGTAAAAAACTAGTGACGATCGCACCTTCAACATACAAAAGTTTTGATATCAACATTTGTGACGAAAAATTATTACACTCGTCATTAAATAGACTTTCTAATATTTTTTCATTCGGCACGCTGCAATAGAAAATGCCTGTGAAAGGAAAAAGGCTGGAATAGTCTGCTAGGGCGGGCCGACTTCAAAATTCGGTGACTTGGTCGGATTTGAAAAATTTATATGTATGAAAGGAACTGGATTATACCACTTCTGCCTTTTTTACTTTAAAAGGCCGACTTGCTGGCATGTTCAAGAAGAACGCTAATTGACTGTTCACGTCAGTATGTAAATCTATATAGAGACGTGGATAACGATCTGTAACTTAAAACGTTCTACAAGGGTGCAGTGCCGAACAAATGTAATTTTAAGTGCAGGCCACTTGAGCCTGACAATAAATATAGTTCTCACATTGCAAAAAGGGTCGCTTTGCGGGAGACCGTTGATAAGGCTCCTGTCAGGCAAACAGATGTGGTCTCTGCGTAGACCATAGATAAGTATATTATGAGAATTTCATGTTAGATACCTAACCAGAGACTTGGAATAATAAAATCAGTTTTAACACAGAGCTCAAACGTGAAGGTAGTTTTTCCTTACCCTCCCAGCAAAGAGAGGAACCAGACTATACCACTTCTGTCTCGTTTTGAAATTTATATTATTTAAAGACTCGGCTTTTTTACTATAAAAACAGCATTAAAATCATCAACAGTATATGCTGAAAATCAGTTTAGAATCAGTATTCAGAAAACGTATTCTATCTCTAGATTTAATACTCACTAAATATGCCCAAGTACGCAACATATATTTTGTGGGCATTCCTTGTGTGGCCTCAGTTCGGAGTTCGTGCAAGAGCTCAGGATAATTCCTCTCCTGTTTGTTCGTTGGCAGTAGAAAGTCATCTTGCTGAAATTAAGGAATCAGTAAAAAGGCTTAGTGTTTCTCTGGGGAGATCACTGGAGATCCCTGCGATCTTCGAACAAATCGGGAACAGATACTTTTACATTGAAAAGGAAAACAGGCAGAATTGGTTTGCTGCAGCAAACACATGTCGGAAAATGGGAGGACACCTAGCGACAATCCAGAACCAGGAGGAGATGGATGCTATAGCACCAAAGCTACCGGCTGGTGTCTTTTGGCTGGACATCACCGACCTGGCCAAAGAAGGAGAGCACGTTTCTTCACTGACCGGAAAGCGACCACCGTTTTTCAATTGGAAGGAGAACGAACCGGCGCCCATCAACGAGCACTGCGTTAATTTATACACTGACAAGATGTGCGATGCCAATTGCAACGCAGAATTTTTCTTCATTTGCCAATATATATAACATATTTCAACATTTCTTCCTAAATCCAATCCAATCCGAAGTCAAATGTTTTCTCAGTCTTTGTATTCTGTAAACATTTTCTAAGTACTGCACAATAATAAAAATTGATTATACAAAAATTGAAATTATGATTATGTTTACTTGAAATCAGTGCATCTGTCTACTAATAAGAAGAGGCATTAAATAGCGAAAAAGTTTTGGGTATAACCCTCTTGAGACCGAACCCGTGCGAAATTTTGTGACGATGACAGCTATAATTGACTTTAAAATATTTTATGAAAAGTGTATCTTTCTTTAAAATTACCTAACTTTAACAATTCCGTGAATCATTATACTCAAAACCTAAAAATTACGTTAATACTAAAAGGTTGTTTAGTAAACCCAATAACATTTTCAGATATCGAAGAGATATGCCTGAGATCAAGAATTGAGTGTGTAAGAACGATCTCGCAGGGGTACATATTTTCGAATTTGGAAATATTTCTTAAAGTTCAGGACTTAAAAGGTTATTTGTATTCTTAAATAATAATTAAATATTCTTTAATAATATTTAAATATTCTTAAATAATAATTAAATATTCTTAAATAATATTTAAATATTCTTAAATAATAATTAAATATTCTTAAATAAAAATTAAATAATAAATAATAATTAAATAATAAATAATAAAAGCATTTCTCTGTATTCTCAGTCGCTCTCTTTTTCTCTCTGGCAAAATATTCTTAACCAGCTGATCACGACTAAGAAAGCTTTCCACAGCTTTCGGGAGAGGAGAGATCGGCATATATACCATATAATATCGGCCACCTGTATATATACGGCATGTGGCACTTGTTGTCCGCTCAGTCTTAGTTTTTCACTCCCTCCGAAACACAAAACAAAGAACGCAATGTCGGGCAACAAATACTGTTTCGCCATCGATCGCGGAGGCACTTTCACGGACGTCCTGTGCATCTGTCCCGGCGGAAAGGTGCGCACCATGAAGCTGCTCTCCGAGGATCCGGAGAGGTATAGCGATGCCCCCCGCGAGGGCATCCGCCGGATCCTCAAGGAGGAAACCGGTGAGGACCTGGCAGCCAGTGGCTTGGTGGACACCTCGAAAATCGGTTGGGTTCGCATGGGCACCACGGTGGCCACCAATGCTCTGCTGGAGCGCAAGGGAGATCCGGTGGTTCTGGTGGTGAACAGTGGCTTCCGGGATCTGCTCTACATTGGCAACCAGGCGAGGCCGAAGATCTTCGATCTGAACATCCGCAAGCCGGCGAATCTATATAAATCCGTGGTCGAGGTGGACTGTCGCATAGTTCCAGAGCAGGCGGATCGTTGTGAGCTGGGTGAGTCTACAATCTACATAGCAAGAATCTCGTTACTTAAATACATGATATCCATATAGATCACAGCTGGAAGGTGCTGGAGGGTGTGGCCGGCACCAAGTATCTGGAGGTGCGTCCCGTTGATGAGGTGGCCGTCCGTCAATCGCTCTCAGTCGCTCGTGATCAGGGTGTCTCCTCCGTTTCCGTGGTTCTGGCCCACAGCTACGCCTGTCCGGAGCACGAACTCCGGGTGGGAGCCATTGCCCGGGAGCTGGGCTTCAGCCATGTGACGCTATCCCACCAGGCGATGCCCATGTGCCGGGTGGTGGCCCGCGGCTATACGGCCTGTGCGGAGGCCTACCTGACGCCCCATGTGGATCGCTACCTGGCCAGGTGAGTGCATTTAATCTGGGGTCTGTAAATTAGCCAGATGACCCAGCTCTTTTCGGAGCCAAACATGTTTTTTTAGAGAGTCACCATAAAGATAAGATCGTAGTCAGACTGAAAGCGAAATAGAACCAAGCAAAACAAACACACAAAGCCGAGATGGGGTTACGTAAAGTAAACAAATCTAGAATGAAAGCTTATAGGGGGGGTCTCGACTGGTGGATACCCTATAATGGATTTAAGATGGAAATAAAAGTAGTTAAAAAAGTAGAACCTGCAAAAGATTTAATGGTGTTATTTTTATTAGCATTTAACAGTGAAATAATATATTTTGTACCCTACAAACCTTCACAAACCTATCTTATCACCATACACCCAAGTTCTCTTAGGACTGGAGGGTATAAAAACAAAAAAAAACTCTTTTTTGCTCTCACTGATTGTCGTTGTCTTTGATAAGCAAAATTTAAAGATAAAAAAAAAATAGTAAAAAAAAAAAAATACAGGTGGGTGGCAACAGTGAAATAATATATTTTTGTTTTGGGATCACCTACATATCTTTACTCTTAGACTCGTAAAAAAAAACCCGCCCACTGATTATACGTGTGGCTTAAATAATGGGATCACCTACAGATCTTTGCCAGTCTCGCAATTTATAGTAAAAACTCCATTCTAAAGATTTTTTCCCATTTTATAGTTTCAAATCCGGCTTCGACAAGCAGCTGGAGGGCGTGGATGTGCTGTTCATGCAATCGGATGGCGGTCTGACCAATATGGAGAACTTCCGTGGGGCCCGAGCCATTCTCTCTGGACCTGCGGGCGGTGTGGTGGGTTACGCTCTGACGGGAGCCCGGGAAACGGATCTACCCCTCATCGGTTTCGACATGGGCGGCACCTCGACGGATGTGTCCCGCTATGCCGGAACCTACGAGCACGTCATCGAGAGCACCACGGCGGGAGTTACCATCCAGGCTCCTCAGCTGGACATCAATACCGTGGCTGCAGGCGGTGGATCTCGGCTGTTCTTCCGATCTGGCCTCTATGTGGTGGGTCCTGAGTCGGCGGGATCTCATCCGGGACCGGCGTGCTACAAGAAGGGAGGCCCCCTGACGGTCACCGATGCCAATCTCATACTGGGACGCATTCTGCCGCAATTCTTCCCCAAGATCTTTGGTCCCAAGGAGAACGAACCGCTGGATCATGAGATCGCCAGGAGTAAGTTCGTGGAGTTGCAGTCGGAGATCAACGAGTATTTGAAGTCCACTGGCGATAGTCGAGTTCTGAGTGTCGAGGAAGTGGCCCTCGGTTTCATTCGCGTGGCCAACGAAACCATGTGCCGTCCCATTCGGGCGTTGACCCAGTCCCGAGGATTGGATACGGCCAACCATGTGCTCTCCTGCTTTGGAGGAGCAGGTGGTCAGCATGCCTGCGCCATTGCCCGCAATCTGGGAATAGCCAAGGTGGGAAGAGCTCATAAAATTAATAATAAATTTTATTAAGTACTTATCTTATTCCTCACATATTTCCAGGTCGTGGTCCACAAGTACGCCGGAATTCTATCTGCCTATGGAATGGCTCTGGCCGACGTGGTTCAGGAGGTCCAGGAACCGAATGGCCTGGAGTTCAGTGATGCGAATGCCCAGCAGCTGAAGAATCGCTTAGATGCTTTGTCAAAGGAATGTCGTGAGAAGTTGGCTGATCAGGGATTCAGGCGGATTGAGCTAGAACCCTTCCTTCATTTACGCTACGAGGGCACTGATGGCGCCTTGATGGTTGCACCGGCCACTGGAAAGCAGTCCTCCAGCTCAAATCCCCTTTTAGAAGCCTATGGGGATTTCAATGCCACCTTCCTGGATCGCTATCGCACCGAGTTTGGGTTCGTCTTGCAAAACAGAAGGATTATTGTGGACGACATTCGCATTCGAGGATTGGGCAAGAATGATACTCCGCCGGAGTCCAAAGTTCAGGCGGCTTCCGAGGTGAAGCCTCCGGAAGAGTCGAAGAGTCGCCTGCACTTCGATCAGGGCGGCTTCGACGCTCCGATTTACCTGACCAAGAACCTCCTGGCCGGGCACAAGATCACCGGACCCGCTGTGCTCATCGATCAGCTCTCGACCATCGTAGTGGAACCAGAGTCCGTGGTCCAAGTCACCCAGTTCGGGGACCTCATCATGGACGTGAAGGCGGGTGGCAAGCATGGCATCAATGCGGACTTGGATCCCGTCCACCTGAGCATCTTTAGCCACCGCTTCATGAGCATCGCCGAGCAGATGGGCCGAGTGCTCCAGCGCACCTCGATTTCGACCAACATCAAGGAGCGTCTGGACTTCTCGTGCGCCCTCTTCGGACCGGATGGTGGCCTGGTCAGCAATGCTCCCCACATTCCCGTGCACCTGGGTGCCATGCAGGAGACGGTCCAGTATCAGCTGAGGGTGCGCGGCGAGACCCTTAAGAACGGCGACGTCATCCTGGCCAACCATCCCTCGGCCGGGGGATCTCATCTTCCCGATTTGACGGTCATTACTCCGGTTTTCTATGAGTGAGTAAAGGGTTTTTTGTGATTTAAAGTTATTGATCATAACTTTCTAGGAACCATCCACGACCCGTTTTCTTTGTGGCCTCCCGTGGTCACCATGCGGACATCGGTGGTATAACCCCAGGATCCATGCCCCCGCACTCCACCTCGTTGGCCCAGGAAGGGGCAGCCTTCAAGTCCTTCCTGATCGTCGAGAACGGGGTCTTCCAGGAGCAGGAGATTATCAAACAGCTGACCACGCCCACGGCTGCCAAGGGAGCGGTGGGCACTCGGAACCTGAGTGACAATCTGTCGGATCTGAAGGCCCAGATCGCAGCCAACCACAAGGGCATCCAGCTGGTGGCGGAGCTGATCGATGGCTACGGTTTGGACGTGGTGCAGGCCTACATGTCGCACATCCAGAAGAACGCCGAGTTGGCTGTTCGCGATATGTTGCGTCAGATTGGTCGGGATACGCTGGAGCGCACGGGATCCACGGTGCTGGAGGCGAGGGAGTTCATGGACGACGGTTCGCCCATTTCGCTCAAGGTAACCATCGATGCGGAGCTGGGATCGGCTCTGTGCGATTTCACCGGATCCGGAGTGGAGGTGTGGGGCAACTGCAATGCGCCGAGGGCCATCACCTTGTCCGCTCTGATCTACTGCCTGCGCTGCATGGTGGGCCACGATGTGCCGCTCAACCAGGGCTGCCTGGCCCCCATCCAGGTGATCATTCCGAAGAACTCCATACTGGATCCCTCCGAGGGAGCCGCCGTGGTCGGTGGCAATGTGCAGACCTCGCAGCGCATCGTGGACACGGTGCTGAAGGCTTTCGGAGTCTGTGCCGCCTCGCAGGGATGCATGAACAACATTACCATCGGGGACGAGACCTGGGGCTACTACGAGACGGTGGCCGGAGGAGCGGGCGCCGGACCAGGATGGCATGGAGCCGGAGGAGTGCACACGCACATGACGAACACCCGCATCACTGACCCGGAAATTCTGGAGCTGCGCTATCCCATGATCCTGAAGAGATTCTGCCTGCGCACCGATGGCTCCGGCGGACGAGGGCAGTTCCACGGAGGCGAGGGCGTGGAGCGGGATCTGCTCTTCCGCAAGCCTGTGACCCTGTCCGTCCTGACGGAGCGAAGGACCCTCCAACCCTACGGTCTGGCTGGCGGAGAATCAGGCAAGAGTGGTCGCAATTTGGTGGTCAAGCGGGACGGTCGAGTGATCGCTTTGGCGGGCAAGACCTGCATCGATGTGGAAGCTGGAGTAAGTACTTTTGTAGGATGAATAACGGTGAGGGGTACTAATTGGATCTTTTTCAGGACACCTTTGCCATGAAAACTCCAGGCGGTGGCGGATTCGGACCCCTTGAAGAATATTCCAAAACCGGAGCAGGCTTGGATCAGGGATACAGCAAGCGATACGTGGAGCGTGGCACTGTTTTCAACTACCTGCAGTCCCAGGAATCGGCCTAAAATTTTATTTCGTTTTTTTCCATGTGCCATATTAAATAAAGTCCCTTTATGTTTTGTGTTTAAATTGCAAGATAAAAAGTGTTAAAATTATTTATAATTGGGTGGATACAATAATACAAAATATAAGCAAAATTATTTTAAAAATCCTTTTAAAGATAGGTTCTTCACAAGTAATTTGAATAGCGCGCCAAGAACTGAACGATAACCGATACTATCGATATCTTCCAGCGAACATATGTTTTCAGGCTGCGCAATCGCCGACGCCTATCGGTACTTGTGCGTAAATATGTTTTGCACGTGTTGCATTTGAACGAAAAGTTTGCGTAAACAAAAGTGTTTTTTCCGTAAATTAAATTAAACTAAAGCAGCCAAGTGCAAATGAAGTGAATGGTAATCAAGTGAAAAACACGGCAACATGGCAGCTTTAGCGGAAAAGACAAAAGACACCAATACATTTCGAGTGAGTGTCTTAAGAAGTCCCACGTTTTTGGTGCACCGCCTCACATTATTTTCTTCCGCAGTTCAAATCCTTCGGGGATCGGGTGAACGAGATTGACCTGCGGCACCTGGCCCTTTACCACATCGGCCACCGGAACGAGGAGCTCGACGAGGAGGAGAACGCCACCTACTTCCAGCAGACGATCCAGAAGTGGAATGTCCTCAATCTCACCGAGGAGTACAACTACTTCAGCAAGAAATGCCGCAAGATAGTCACCCTGCCGCAGCTCCTCCACCAGAAGGACTTTGTGGTGGACCTGCTGCTGGAGCGCCTGGCCACGGCCACGAATCTGTCCCAGCAGCCGCTGCTGGAGCTGCTCTACGTCCTGGCCAGGGATCTGCGCGAGGAGTTCTACCCGTACTTCCAGCGGGTCCTGGACCGCCTGATCTGCCTGCTCAACACCCAGGATGCGGAGCAACTGGAGTGGACCCTAATCTGTCTGGCGCACCTGTTCAAGACACTGAAGCCCTACTTAAAGCGCAACATCGGTGTGGTTTTCAATGCCATTCTACCGCTCCTCGATGAACAGCACTATGCCGAGCATGTCACGAACTTTGCGGTCGAGTGCTTTGCGTACATAGCCCGCGATGTCAGCGACTTCCCCCGTTTCCTGGCCTACGTGCTGCAAACTGTCCTGCGGGAGCAGGTGGAGAGCGTCCATGGCTGCGGGCGGCTTATCTACGAAATACTGCGCGGCGTCAACGGACAGCTGCACAACTCGGCGGCCGAGATCTTCGCCCATGTCCTCGAGGTGCTGGTCAACAGGGCTTCGGCTCACACAAAAGCCCAGACGGAGCTCCTGGGCGACATTGTGGAGTATTCGCTGGGACTGTTGCTCAACTTCCTGCGCTCCGATCAAAGCCACATCCTCTGGCAGACACTCTGTTCGGCGGCCAGCAACGAAAGTGCCGATGTACAAAGGCTGATTAATCTAATGCTGCCCCTGGTCACCCACAAAGACGGACGCTATGTGGCCGAGCTTCCACTGGTCGTTACCACTCTGCTTAGTTTGCTGGAGAGAAAAGTGGATCCCCTGCAGCCGCTAACAGCCCTGGTCACCAGTCTGCTGAAGGCCCAGCACACTCAACTCACCCAACTGGATGCCAGTCGTCTGTTGCAAAAAGCTTTTGAGCACAAGTCGAGCACAGGAGTCCGTGTACGAGGACGCCATCCTGCAGCTTTTGGACTATCCGCAGTTCGAGATTCTGGTTCTGCCCAATGTCATCGGGTACTACGAAGAGCGCAGGCAAACGGGAGCGCTGGAGCTCCTGGCACGCATTGTGCAGCACAAGCGGCCACTGCAAGTGGATGGCAACTCGCTCGCCCAATGGGTAGCCTACCCCATTCAGCTGAAGCAAAAGGAGACTATCAAAATTGTTGAGGAAAGGCTTCTAATGTTGAATTTGAGCAAAGAGGATCATCTACTGCTTATCGTCCTGGCTCCCCACTTGCGGGGATTCAGCAAGCAGCCTTTGGAGCAACGTTTGCAGTCAGTCATTGAAAAGTTCCTAAAGAATAAGGAAACTGATTTCACCCAGCTTTTATTGCTGCTTCAAACTCATGCCTTGCTCAAGTTTAGTTTACCCAAGGGTCTGCGATCCAATATTTCTGGTTATCTTATTCCTGAACTGGCGAAGGACCTAAGAGCTCTGGCTTGCTTGCAGCTGGTTCTCCTTGAAACCCCTAAAAACGAGATTTCCGCTACGGAGGAACTACTGACTGGCATCTCGAGCCTCTTAGGCCAACCAGTTTCCACAATACAGACGCATAGCTGCCCACTGCTTGGATGTGATAAACGCGAAGAGCAAACCCAATCCGTACTCCCACTTTTATGCCGCCACCTGCATCGAACCCACCGTCCACAACTACCGCGAACTGCTGCTCCAGCTGCAGCAATTGGAACCGGCGTCTGCCCAGTTCAAGCAGTTTCTCCCAGCTGCCACATTTCAAGGAGCACGCTGTAAGCCTCCTGCTCGGCCTGCTCTACAACAACTTTAAGTTTGTTTGGGCGCCGGTTCAGCAGCTCCTGGCTGCCTACGCCAAAACGATGACGGCAGATGAGTTCTGGAACCTCTTTAAGGCCAAATTGGTGGAGACTGTCGCCTGCATTGATTACAAAAAGGAGGTAACCATACTGCAGGAGCCCTTTCAAAGGGACTACCAATCGCCGGCGCTGACCATACTGCTTCCTTTGGTCGGGGAGCCACAATTGACTCTTCAGCAAGCGCTCAACTATCGTCAGCTCCTTTGGCAAAGCCTGCCCAAGTTGGGAACCCTTGCCGAGGTGAAGAATGCAGATGTAGTGCGATTGTTTTTGCAATTCCTAGAGCAGGAATATCGCGCCCAGCTGGAGAAATCGGAGCACACTTGGAATGTGAACGAGGCGACAGGTAAGTTAACCGCCAATAATAGTTAGCAATCTTTAACAGCTCTTGATTTTATTTTAGCTGCTGATATTGATGCCGAGGAAGAGGATGAGAATGAAGCGAAGCCCGAGCAAAGAGGTCGGCAGAAGAGAAGAACCCAAAATGCCCACACAAAGTTTATTTTACAAACGCTTCAGTTGAAACTGGCCTGCTTTGTGTCGCAGCCAAATCCCAAGGCTCTGCATCGGCAGGCCGAGATGCACGACTTCTATTTGGAGCTCCTGGCCGGACCCAATGCTCAGTTGCAACAATTGGCGCTGGACTGTCTGGCGGCCTACAAACAGCCTGCGGCTCTGGTGCAGCAAAAGGCTCAGCTAGCCGGTCTCATCGATGAGGAAAAGTTCAAGACGACCCTCAGTGGCTTTGAACTCTCCAGCCTTTCGGCTCAGCAAAGAACGGAGCTGATGCCCTTCATGCTTCGTGTACTCTACGGCAAAATGCTGACCAAGGGTGTTCAAAAGCAGTTGACTGCCCAGCTGCGAAAGACGCTGATCCTGCGATTCCTGGGCCAACTGGAGGAGTCGGAGATTATGGACTTTCTGAAAATGGCCTTCGGTCGGTTTACTGCCTACACCGATAAACCAATAGACGAAGTGGCAAAGTTTGTACGAGAATCGTATGACCCGTCGGCGGTGATTGCAGCCAAGCAGTTGCAGAGGATCGTCAACCTACTCGAGCTCACTCGCAAGGAGTTTGCCGGTAGGCTGACACCAGACTTCCAGTGCTACGTTCTTAAATTACTCCTTCTCGTGGGCAGCGTCGCCCAGGAAGTCATCAATGGCGAGGGAAAACTATTAGCTGCCTACAAGAACGTCAAGCACTCCGGTCTGCAGACGCTGGTCAACTACTTTGGTCAACTGGTGGACATGGAGGAGCTGTGGCAGGAGAAGGAAATGAATGCCATATGTGAGGTGTACCTTTGGCCAGGCATTGCTCGCCTCTCGCAGGATTCGATACACACGCCAACTCCCATGCTAAAGTTACTTCTCCTTTGGGGCGGAGAGCCACGCTACCAAAAATGGTTAAACAGGAGTCCTGCCGCCGATAAACCTCCAATAATGCACCACTTGATAGCTTTGCTACTCAACGAGAAGGCCAAGACGAATGTGAAGCGTTCGCTTCTGCAGATGGTGGAACAGCTCCTGGAATCGGCTGCCTCCGAGGAGTACGGCGCCGAGGTCCTGTCAATTGTACATCCCCACATTCCAGCTATCCTTCAGCAGCTGCAGAACAGTTGGCGCCACAAGAAGGCCGGCAGACAGGCGCTCGATAAGCGGGAACTCAACATCCTGACCCTCATAACGTCGCATGTGGAGGAGCCGGATACTTGTGAGCTGCTACTGCAGGTTCTACTGCCCATATTCACCAAACAGGCGGCTTCAGCTGGACCAGAGACAGTCGTTCAGTTGGTCACCACGTTGGGGAATCTCTTGAAGCGTGTTTCTAAGCCGCAGGATTATGTTCGTCCGCTGGCTCCGCTCTTCGAACAGGTGAGTGTGCTGCCTGCAAGGAAGCTGCTCTGCGAACTCTTGGCTGACATGGCTAAACGGCTGCACAGGGAGGCGAAACAGAACGTCGAACTATCCAATATAGCCGCCTCCTTGCGCGAGTGGGTGAGGATTGTGCTGCTCCTGAATGCTTGGGACAAGCGGTGGCTCGAGCAGCCGGACTACGACAAGCGTTTGGAGGGACTTTCGGAGCTCAAGCAGCTGGTGGAGAAGAAGGACAAGAAGATGGACCTGCAACTGGGAGTTCTTGTCGTGTACAACTGCTTTTATATGCTGCGCCACGATTCGGATTTGGGCATGAGAGTCAATATAGGGGAACTGTTGAAGCCTCTGCTTCCCTTGGTAACTCTGCAACTAGAAGTAAAGGAGGATGTGCACTTCTGGCTGGAGGACACGCTGCTGCCGCTGTTCCAACGCTGCATGCGAGATGAGAAGCACGAGCATGCCAGGGGCGAGGCCATCGGCTTGCTGGGCGAGCTGGCTCGCCAATGTCCGGCTGCCCACGAGATCCTGAAGGATCTTTCGCCGCTGACGGATAAGCACGACTTGGAGGTGGACTTCTTCGAGAACATGCTGCATCTGCAAACCCAGCGGCACGGTCGCGCCCTCCAGCGCCTGGTGAACATCTCCGCAGGCAGTTGGCGACAGGCTCCACCTTGCGCACGAACCCTCACCCAGTTCCTCCTGCCGCTCGCCACCCGCTACCTGATGAGCGAAAAGCACTCGGGCAAACACACACTAGTCGATGCCGCCATCGAGTCCGTTGGAGTGATGACTGAGTTCCTGCCCTGGACACAATACCAAGCAGTGCTCCGCTACTACCTCCAAAAACTACGACACGCCCAGGGGCAGCAGAAGCAGTGTGTCCGACTGGTGGTTCGCATCCTCGACGCCTTTCACTTTGACTTGACGCAGGCACAGACGGATCTGGCTGCCTTGGCCAAGCTGAAGGAGAAGCTCTCAGAGGGGGAGGAGCCTGCTGAGGAGTCGCAGGAAAATAAGGCGGAGGAGGATGTGGATGTGGATGGCGAAGACAAGCCTTTGAAAAAGGAGGCGGATCAGTCTGACTTTATCAACTTTGATGAGGAAGAGGCGACCGAACCAGTGGTCGAGCAACAGCGCATCCAACTGCTAGCTCCCAACGCTGCCAAAAAGGTCATGGCCACTATTACTACAGTTTTGCTGCCAACCCTCAACCGTTCCATCACCGAGAAAACCAACTACGACACCAAACACAAGGTCAACCGCCGCCGGTTGAGCTACGAACGCGAGGAAGAGGAGATCCAGCGAGTGCCCATTGCCCTGGCCATGGTGAAGCTTCTGCAGAAGCTTCCTTTGGAACTATTGGACAACAGTCTGCCTGGTATGTGAATCACTCAATTTTTATTTTATCATAGTATGCCATAAAATTTCTGATTTGTTAATTCAATTCTATGTGAAATATTTTGAATGTTTTTCTAATTCATTTTGAATTGATTGAATGAATGAAGAATTTTTATGAATTTTTGAAATATTACCAGATTTTTTTTGCGATGTTCTTTTTTTTTTTGAATGAACGGTCGGAAAATTAATGGAAAAGTAAAGTAGAAAATAAAATTCATGCTTTTAGATTTAATCACAAAATTATGGCCTTTTTTCTTCATAAAGAAATTGTCGTTTAAATATTTCCGAATTTCAATTTTAATTTTATCAAAAAAAAAAAAAAAAAAAAAAAAAAAAATAAAAAAATTAAAAAATTTATAAAAATAAAAAAAAAAAAAATTTTTTTTTTTTTTTTTTTTTTCTTGTTATGAACCTTTTAAATTTGCCAGATTTTTTTGTGCTTTCTTTTGAGAACAAAAAGTTGAAAAGTTTTAACAAATCCATGTTAACTGCTTTGAATGTAAAATTCATGCAGATTTAATCACAAAATTATGGCTCTTTTTTCTTCAAAAGAAATTGTCGTTTAAATTATTTCGGAATTCATGCCATTAATTCACTTAATTCTATTAAACTCAAAATTCAAATTCATTCAATTCTATTAAACTCAAAATTATAATTAATTCATTAATATTAAACAAAAAAATCAAAATAATTCATTGAATCCACTCTTGTAGGGCTCTAATGTGTACCGTAACTTATAAATCTAATGCCAACACTATATCTTAATTTACTTCCCCCAGGAATCTTCATGAAAGTCTGCACCTTCCTGCGATCCCCTCTAAAGTCCGTTCGAATGCTCACCCGCGACATCCTGAAGAAGATTATGATCACCCTGGGTGGCAGCTATTTGGGAATGCTCTTGGAGCAGCTGCAATCGCTGCTCACGCGGGGATTCCAGGTGCACGTTCTCTCGGTGACTCTCCATGGCGTTTTGGATGCGCTGAAGAGCGACCTGAAACCAGACCATATTGAAAAGTGCCTCCAGAATCTGCTAGAAGTGGCGCTCAATGATATATTCGGCGATGTGAGCGCAGAAAAAGAGGTGGATAAGATCGTGGCTCACACGCCGGAAGCCAAGCCTAGTGCAAAGAGCTACCTCACGCTCCACATAGCCGCTCGCCATATTCGGGACAACTGCTTGCTCGACTTGCTGCTGCCGTTCAAGGAGCACTTGGCCCGATCGCACTCCCGCAAGGTCACGCAGAAGATTCAGGAGTGCTTTGCCAAGATCGTGGGTGGCTTGGTGGAGAACACGCACATCGCAAGGGAGAGTCTGCTGATTTTCATATACGGCACGATGTCCGAGAGCATCAGTGACCTTTTGCCAGGAACACAGAAACGTCAGCTCACCGCCAAGGAGCAGGCTCTGATGAAGAGGACTTGTCCGGATTGCCTGATCCTGCAACCGGCGCCGGGAAGACGCAGTGTGGCCACCGGAAACAAGCAAGTCAAGTCGAATGCCCAAGCCAATGCTCATATTCTCGTCGAATTTGGATTGGAGCTCCTTCACTTCGTGCTGAAACGAAAAAAGCTAACGGATCTGGACTACCAGCCTTTTCTGCATCCCTTGCTGCCACTTCTGAAGGATTCCTTGAGCAGCAATCACGCCAGGACCACAACATATGCCTTAAAGTGCTACACGGCCATTTGGTTGGGCGAGTACGAGCTCTCCGAACTCAACAGCGAGGCCCTTCAGCCGGTGGTTGGACGCATGTTTCAGATCCTCAAGAACTTCTCAACTTTCGGCGCCACGCGGCAGGAGGAGAACGCTCAGCTGGTCAGGGCGAGCTTCAAAGCGGTGGTGGCCCTGCTGCGAAAATGCCAGGACTACAAGCTCAGCAACGAGCAGATCGAGCAACTTCGCTGCACATCGAACAGGAGCTGCAGGAGGGCGAATGCAGCAGCCAGACCATGGTGTTTACCTTGCTCAAGGCTCTTGTCGGCCGGAAGGTGGACACTCGCTCCCTGCACGATCTGATGAAGCGGCTGGGCGACCTTTCCATCATCTCTCCCTCGGATTATGTGCGAGATGAGTGCCGTGGCATCCTGCTCATCTATATAATGGAGTATACGCTGCGCCAGAAGGTTGAGCAGATGGTCAAGTTCATGTCGGTTCAATTGTGCTATAGCCAGACAGCGGGTCGCCAATCGGCCATCCAGTTCATGCACTCCATCATCAACAAGTTCCCGCAGCTCATGCTGGTGAAGCAGTCTGAGTTTCTGTATCTTTCCCTGGGCACTCGACTGGTCAACGATGAAGATCCCTCGTGTCGCCGCAGTGTCGCCGCTGCGCTGGAAGCTCTCATCGGACGTCTCACCAAACTGGAGCGGCAACCTCTGCTGGATTTGACGCTGCTGTTCTTCACATCACCACAGTCCAGTCAGAAGCCAGGAGTGCGGGAAATGGCCGCTGCTCTCCTGTCGAGATTTGTGCAGGCAGAGAAGGCCGGCTTCGCGGAAAGGTTACCTTTGGTCCTGCCCATTCTCGTAAATGTTCTAACTTTGGGTGACGCCGAGACGGGAGGAAGATTTGTGCGGGCTCCAGGACATCTGGCAGCAGAAGTCGAGTGAAACTGGTCTGCATAAAAAGAAGCGAAAGGTAATTAGAGGTTTTAAATGATTGTATTTAAATATTTATCATTTACACACGCTTTATTTTTTAGAAATTCGATACCCTGCCCGATGAAGAACTACTGCTGGCCGACCTCGACAACGAATCGCAGTTGGAGCTGCAGCAGCGCAAAGCTGACCATCAGCTCATCCAACTACAATACTGTCTGCTCAAGATATTCGAGCATTGCGGGGACTCTTTACTCAGCAATCCGGAGCTTTCCGATACCATTGATGAGCTGGCCTACGGCTCTCAGCGACTTTTGGGTCACGATCACAACTGGGTGCGCTGCAATGCAGCCAAACTGCTGACCCACATCCTGGCCCACTACGATTACACCTTTGTTGGGCAACAACTGGCTGGAGTTAAGCGAGAAGAGGGCGCTGAGCAGACACTATACTTTATTTACGGACAGCCTGCAGAGGATATTAAATCTTTGGTTTTAGATCTGTGCGCCCAGGTTGTGCCGGGCGATACTGCGCAGGAGATGATCGATGAGCTGTCGAAGATTCTTCTTTACGTAGGACACATGCTGCGGGATGTGCCATTTAGCCTGAAGCAGGAAAAAGATGCTGATGATAATGAGGAGCAGAAGCCGGCCAACAAAATAAATCTAAGCTGGCTGCTGCGGAATATACGCTTCCTGATTAACAAGGAGGTGGCCAAGGCGCCTCACGCTACCAGCATTGTACGTATGACTTTATAAGTGAAAGAAAAATTAGTAATTAATTAATTTCCCACTTCAGCGCTCTGCCATGTTCACGCTAATTGAGGCTCTGTCCACGCTGCTCAGTGTGGAGTCCGTCAGCCGATTGGCGCCATCTCTTCTCCAGGCTTTGGTTCGCGAAATGTCCGAGGAGGATCAGAACGTAGATGCGGAACTGCGCCAGCAGGCCCTCCGTGTCGGCAGTCGGTTGAGGAAGCGCATAGGAGCCGATGTCTATGACAAACTCAGAAATGCCGTTCAGACCAAGCTGATGGTGCGCCGCGCCGAGCGACGGAAGGTTGTCGCCCAGGAGAAGATTCATGATCCGGTACGCGCGGCCAAGCGAAAGGCTGGCGTCCAGGAGCGCAAGAAGACGGCGAAGCGCCTAAAGGCGGCTGTCGTCCGTGGCAAAGCGCCAGACATAAAGCAAAAACTGAAAAAACGTAAACGAAAAGCAGAAATGGATGGATTTTAATTAGTTAGGCAGTTGTTTTTAAATCTAAGTTGTTTTAAGTAGATCGGAAAACTAACGAAGATTGTATCCAAAAAAAAAAGTGAAAAATTAAATGACGCTTTTGCAATAATACAAATAATAATTGGACTTGTTCTTGGTGCATTTAAATTTTGGCGCCCTTCACCGATTAATTGTGTATCGAGCCCGGCAATCGAACCTATCGATTGACTAGCACATGTGTTGTGCAATTCCGATTGTTGTTATTGTTTGTTGTTTCCAAAATGCAGCAGCTGCGAACCGCCGTGCTCCGTGGCCTGGCCAGAAGGATGCACCCCGCATCGAAGAGTGCCCACAGTGCCAGCGCCGAGATCTATGACGTGGTGGTCATCGGAGGCGGACATGCCGGCACAGAGGCCTCGGCGGCAGCCGCTCGCATGGGATCCCGCACCCTGCTGCTCACCCACAAGCTGGAGACCATCGGCGAGATGTCGTGCAATCCCTCGTTCGGCGGCATTGGCAAGGGTCACCTGATGCGCGAGGTGGACGCCCTGGACGGCGTGTGTGCCCGCTGCTGCGATGTGTCGGGAGTTCACTACAAGGTGCTCAACAGGCGGCGCGGACCGGCGGTTTGGGGACCCAGGGCCCAGATCGATCGCCAGCTGTACAAGCAGGCTGTGCAGCGGGAACTGCACAGTACGCCCAACCTGGAGATCCGAGCGGCTGCCGTGGACAACCTTCTGATCGAAGATGAGCAAGATACCCAAACCCGGCGATGTGCCGGAGTTTTGCTAGCCAACGGCGAGGTGGTGCGCAGTCGATCCGTGGTGCTCACCACGGGTACTTTCCTGCGGGCGCACATAAACATCGGACTGGAGATTCGTCCAGCGGGACGGATTGGTGATGCTCCTGCCAAAGCGCTGGGCGAGGCCATCGACAGACTGGGCTTTCGCATGGGCAGGCTGAAGACAGGAACTCCTCCCAGGATAGCAAAGAGCAGTGTGGACGTCTCCCAGCTGCAAAGGCACGATGGTGACGATCCGCCCATGCCGTTCTCCTTCCTCAACAGGGAAGTATGGATTCCTACCAAGGATCAGCTACCCTGCTATCTCACGTACACCACACCAAAGGTCAGCGACATTGTGCGCAACAATCTGCACGTGAATCGCCATGTCACCGAGGAGATAACCGGCCCACGTTACTGTCCTTCGATTGAGTCGAAAATCCTGCGGTTCGGCGCCAAGGTTCATCAGGTCTGGCTGGAGCCAGAGGGTCTGGACAGTCCGCTGGTCTACCCACAGGGCATATCCTGCACGCTGCCCCACGAACAGCAAGTGGAGCTCGTCCATGCCATCCAGGGGCTGGAGAAGGCGGAAGTTGTTCAGCCCGGCTACGGAGTGGAGTACGATTTCATAGATCCCCGCGAGCTTTATCCTACGCTGGAAACGAAACGAGTGCCTGGACTCTTCTTTGCTGGACAGATAAACGGCACCACGGGCTATGAGGAGGCGGCTGCCCAGGGAATCATAGCTGGCGCCAATGCAGCTGGAAAAACCCGCCATGACGACGGAAGGCAACTAACTATTAGTCGCACTGAAGGCTACATTGGCGTGCTGATCGATGACCTTACGTCCTTGGGGACCAACGAACCCTACCGCATGTTCACGAGCCGTGCAGAGTTCCGCTTGTCACTACGCCCGGACAATGCTGATATGCGGCTTACCCAAAAGGGCTACGAGTTTGGTCTAGTATCGCCACAGCGTTACCAGCATTTCCAGCAAACAGAGGAGAGATTACAAGCGGCCTCGAAGTCATTGAGGGGATTAAGGAAACACACTCACTACTGGCGACAGGCGCTCGACTTGCCAAAGGCCAAGGCATCGGTGGAGAAAACTGCCTTCGATATGCTAGGCATTCCGGCGGACAACATCACGGTGGATCAGCTAATCCAGCTTCATCCCAGCGAACTGAGCTGGCTGAGTGGCGAGCGAAACTTGGCCGAAAGACTGAAAATCGAGGCCTTGTACTCGTTCTTTGTCGATGAACAGCAACGGGATGTGGACGATGTCCTGCGGGAGGAGCGCCTGTCCATTCCCGCCGACATTGATTACTTCTCCAAGTCCCTGAGCTTGTCCAACGAGGAAAGACAGAAACTGACGCTCATTCAGCCACAAACTATTGCAGCGGCTAGTAGAATTCAGGGGGTAACTCCTTCGACAATTGTAAGGTTACTGAAGTATGTTAAGAAAGCCGAGGTAGCCCAAGCCTAGTTAAGTTAATGTATAGTTTTGAAAATATTATACATTTTATATAATTTTACCTCAGTACCCTGTTCCCAACCAAAACAAAGTTGCCTATTACATCCTTAAGTAAAGTTTATTTCATAAAATCATAAATGCCTTATGTAAAGTTGCACAATATTGTTTAAATGTTTGTTTCGCATATCGTTTGCCACAGGGTTGAACATTCGAACATATTTATTTTTCTGCGCGATTGTGTTGGCTCAAGTGAGTTGACTATATGCTGTGGTCAAGTGAAAATCTTAGGTAGAAGCGCTTGTCTGTTGAATTTAATTTCTTAATCCGATGGGTAACAGATATAAATCCTCTTAGGACTTTCTGAATTGGCTTTTAAATACATTTTCGGGGCGACCTAAGCGCTTCTCCTTATGTCTATTGCTATTGTTTCGGTAGCTGTGGTATTTGTGAACTTTTGTATTTGGTTTTCGGGTTCGATTGCGTTTCGGTTAGCTTACAGTTTAATGTTTTACACTTTGTATTCTGTTTACACACACAACGAAGATTGAGGGGGAGTTACAGTACATTTAATTTACGATCGATTTGGTTTCTTTTGTTAAGGTTGTATTTGAAACTATTTTGCAGTAGTTGATTAGCTATCGCATGGCATTTGTGGTTACGTTACTAGATGCGCGCCAATCGATTTCAGTTATGTGTGTCATTCAAGAATCTATTACGATTAGTTATTAAAATATATTCATTTTCAGTTTTACTGGTACATACACATAGTTTTGTCAAAAGGAAAAGTCGACTTGCATATGGCGGAATTTGTACGGAATGGTCGAAGCGTATCGGTGTCCATATTTACCTTACTGAATATTAAGGACACCATAAACTTTCTGGATCACCATGCTTCGAAAACGAGTGGAATATACATATAGTATCGGGTCTCAAATGAGGCTCATACGCAGTGATTTTTTTGAGTTTTGGTTTGGTTTTTAATCTTTTTTTTATAATATCACAGATTGCTTGAGATTTATGCATTAAAATATATATAAACCGTTACTTCACGTATCGTCGAATGTTAGGCAATCTCAAACACAAAAAAAAAAAACTGGGAGGCAAGATAGAGGGGAAAAGAGTGGAAGTGGGACTGGAAACTATATCTATTCTTTGAGAGTTTGCTTGGTTTTTGGGGTATTGACTACTTACTATAAACATCAATTATAGTGTGGATACAAAGTACTTTTGTTAGTAGAATTGCTCCATTTGCTAGCTTGTGTTTGGATGTGCTTTCTGAAGATTATGTCCGAATTTGTTTCCCGATCCCTGCACTCTGAGTTTAGCGTCTAAAATGCGTTAAATCAGAAAAAACAAAAAAAAATTAATAAGGGCCAAAGGGTGGCTTACAAAAATTGATTAATTTCGAAAAATAATTTCGGCCTTCACTGTTCACTACTAATTCATTCCAGAATATCTCTCTAGGTTTTTGATTTGATTTGTTATCTAAATTTCAGTTCCGTTTTCCCCACTTTGTATTCGAGTTACATGTTCATACGTTTTCCGTTTTTATTCGTACTCTCCAAATCACAATTATTAGCAATTAGCAATTTAAGAATAAAATATAGCTACCCAGTATGTTTTGTATAATTTCTGTTTCTGTTGTGTATATATAAATTTCTTATTTGAATTTTAGTCTAACTTTACAACTAGCATTAATTTTCTCACGAAGACTACATCCAGAGTTCCATGCAAGTACGTACCTAAAATTCTTATCGATTAGGTTTCATTCAAGAGTAATTATTTTACTTGGAATATGTCACAATAATTTACATTTTATGCAGATACGATTTTTTACACCAATTCAAAATGTCTAATTGTGGTAGAATTGTATTCAACTGGTTGGGTAAACGTTAGATTGTAACACCGAGAACAAACAAATATCTGATATCTGTTATAGAATTTACATGGTATTTTATCCGTTCCTGCCCTTCTCCTTCGGGATCATCCTAGAGCTTCAGGAACTCGTCGAGCATCCGCTTGCGCTGCTGGTGAAGAGCTTGCTCCGACAGCAAGTACATCCCAATGTCGCTGTAGTTTTTCATTAGTTAGTTATTGGAATTGCTGAATAGTTGGTGTCATAAGGCTGCAGCCTCCTCCGCGCTGTTGCTGCGACCCAATCCACCCAGCTGGGGCTTGCTGTCATCTGAAATAAACACCGGATTAACGGCTTTAGTTTGGATGCTTCAGTGAATCACAAAACCAAAGCGAAATAATAAGTATACATAATTCAAATAATTGTAAACAAAAATTATTTATTTAGGCCATTTCTAAAAGTATACATTTAAATAGGGAAATAATAATAATAACTAAGGATTAAAACATTTAGAATTGGATCTAAGCGGCGCTGGCAATACATTACAAATTCTTGTATAAATAAAGATAAAGATGCGTGACTAACAACTAGATTATCGCATAGTTAAATGTTACTGAAGGTAGATGTTAACTAGTTCCGATCCGAGGCGACTTTTCATTAAACTTAAACCTAAGCCCGACCCACTCCCGCCAGGGGATCATCATCTGGTGGGCTCGGCACTGGTGGACACCTCGTCGCTGGTCAGGAGCGGCGCCTTGCCGGCACCGCTGGTGCTGCTGCTGACCACCGGCGGCGGGGTGGTGCCACTGGTGGTGGAGGTCACCCCGCCGGAGGTGGACACGGTGTCCGGTGAGGCGACCGCTGTCTTCGGAGGAGCTGGTGCCGGCGATAGCCTGGCTTGCTGCTTCTCCTCCTCCGCTACGATGTCTGTCTTGTCCGAGTCTAGAATCTTTGGGGTCTCCTCTTGGCATTTACCTGTTGCGGCTGCAGTGGCACTGGCCGCCGGTAGCGAGTTGTTGGTCTCCGACTGCGGACTGGCACTGCGCCGCGAGGAGTTCTCCGGTGAGCTGTCCGGATGGATGGGTTTCTCCATGGCGGCATTTGGCGTCGATGGCTTCTTTTCCAGCGCCACCGGAGGCGGAGAACTCTTAAGGGGATCCTCTTTGCTTTGTTCCTTGCTATCCGCCTGCGATGCTCCATTGGATTCGGCTCCATTCACTTCGTGATTCGCCGGCTGACCACTGCTTGCGTTGGATGGCGCCTGGTTGCTGGAGTTCGAATTTGATCCGGTCAAATCCAAGGTGGCCGGCTCATGGGTCACCGGCGTGGCTGCCTTGTCAATCAGCGCTGATTGCTGGGCTGCCGCCGCCACCGCAGCGGCAATATGATGCCGCATGGCATGTGGGCTACCGCCTGCTCTTCCTCCGTTCGCCGAGGCAGATGGGGTGATGGGGGGCGTAATCTTCGGCGAACTGGGCAGCGACAACGGCTGCTGCTGGTGGGCTGCCGTCGGAGTCATTCCGCTGGCCGCCGCCGCAGCCGCATGCATGGCCGCCAAATGGCCGTGGTGGTAGTAGGAACCCATGCTGGGAATGTGCGAGCTGGAGGTGGTGGTGGTGACACCGCTGGGCATCGAGGTGGGCACCTGATCGGCGCTCAGCTTCACGGCGGCCGTTAGGTTCAAGCTGCTATGCGAGTGCGGTGAGGATGCGGACAAACTGGAGCTGGCCGTCACGGGAATGGAGTTGCTCAGGCCTCCGCCTCCGCCGGCTGACGAGGTGTGCGGTGGCAACTGGTGGGCCAGCGAGGCGGGATGGTGCGGCGACATGTGCGGATGGCTGAGGTTCAGACTGTGCGGATGGGCACTCAGCCCGAGGGCAGCGGCCGAGAAGCCGGGATGCGTGAGCCCAGCAGCACCGGGATGAGCCAGCCCCATGGCCGCCTGCTGCAGGTGATGCTGTAGATTGGGCCCGTGGCCGCCCAGTTGAGGAACTCCCGGCAGCCCGGCCATGCCCAAATTAAGACCCATGGCTCCGTGGGGACTCTGTCGCTGGGCATTCGCCGCCGCTGCGTGGTAGTGCGACATTCCGGGCAGACCATGCAGGGCTCCCGGAGGTCCGCGCAAGCTCATATTCAGATGTGGAATCATGGAGCCCAGCAGATTGCGGTTCAGGGGCGAGTACAACTGATTGGAGTAGTGGTGCGAGGCATTCAGCAGCTGCTGCCGTTCCCGCTCCCTCTCGCGCTCCTCGTCGCGGAGTTTCCGCTCGCGTGCCTCCTTTTCCCGCTGCTCCTTCTCGCGTTGCTCCCGCTCCCGCTCACGCTGCTCCTTCTCCCGCTGCTCCTTCTCCCTTTGCTCCTTTTCACGCTGCTCCCGCAGCTCCCGCTCCTTCTCACGCTGCATTTCCCGCTCGCGCTCCTCCTCCCGCGCTATCCGCGCCCGGTGCTCCTCCTCCAGCTTCATCCGGTCGTGCATAGCCGGCGATATGCCCAACGCGGCGCCGGGCATCATCGAGTACAGGTGGGAGTAGGGCGAGGCCATCTGCGGATACAAGGCGGCCGCATGCGGATGCGAGGGATGGGCGCCGGCGGCGCGGAACAGTTGGTATCGGTGCTCCAGGTAGAGCTGCTCCGTGTACGGCAGACCAGCGGGATTTAGAAAGGCTGTAATGGGTAAGGGGGTCATAATTTGTACAACAATTATAATCTTTTTCGGCTTACCTGCTGGCGGAATTCCCGGCAGCCCCGCAAAGTGCGAGTAGGCCTCCAGGGGAAAGGCGCCCGCCGGATGCATCAGTCGCTCGTCCGATCTGTATGGCTGGAATCCGCTCCTGGCCAAGAGTTCCGGTTGCAGCGAGGCCGTCTGCGGAGTGTGACTCAGTCGGGCGATCTTCTCCGGCGGCTGCGGCGATGGTGGTGAACGCTTCTTGCTGCTCGCCACTCGATCCTCGCCAGGTCGCTCCGAGCCCACGCGTCCCGCCACCGAGTTAAGAGGTCCCGGACCCCCGACGACGACGGAGGTGGTGGTCCTCCTGCCCCCGAGGTGGGCACATCCTCCTCCTTGATGTCCGCCTGCTTGGCCAGCGTTCGCAGGGCGGCGGCAAAGGAGCCACGGCTACTGGCCGAGGCGGCACCAATGGCCCCCGGTGGCAAACCCACTCCGGCGGCCAGCTGTTGCTGCACTGCAGCCGCCACCGCCTGCTGTTGAGCCTGGTGTTGCTGCTGCTGCTGCTGTTGGTGTTGCTGTTGCTGCTGCTGTTGGTGATGCTGCTGCTGCGGCGACGGAGTGCCGATGTGGTTGCTGGGCAGGGCGTGGTTCAGCATGGCGTTGCCGCCGGCGGACGAGGGAACCGGGCTGTTGGCCACCGATGAGCCCGGCAAGCCGCCACCTCCGCCGCCGGGAGGCGTCTGCAGGTGGTGCGGCACGGGAATGTGCGGTGCTGGACTGGTGGCCGGACGCTTTTGACCAGCCTTCGGCGGCACTGCAATGGAAATTGAAAAGTTTTGGTTAGATTTCTGTGCATTTGCATTGTAAATATATACTTCTAACTCCTTGTTAGGTGTATGAGAATATAGTAATGGTCAATTAAATATAGCTAAAATGTATTTTTTATGAACTTTTTCACAAAAAATAGATGCATGAAGAAAACCTTTTATTAATTCGCAAGAACATATGTGAAATTATAATTACTTTAGGGGAAAATAAATTATAAAATGGTGGAAATATTTAATCTCAATTTGTTTTACATATGTAGTTATATTTGTTAAGAGTTAAATAAAGAAATAAAATATATGTCTACATAAAAAGAACGTTTTCCTGTTTTTCCTTAAACATTTTATAAAATTATAAGTTACTCTAAGGGAATATATTTATTTATTTTTCCTGGTTTTCCTTAAACATTTTAGTTTTTTTAAATGTCATCAGTTATATTTTTTTAAGGAGTTAATTAAATAAAAAAACGAAATATTTTTCCACGGAAAAAGAGATCCTATGGTAGAACAAATAATTCAATAAAAACAGTCACCATAAAAACTCTTTGCTAAATGTATTCCGTGTGAGCCCAACAAGAATCGGAGAGACCAGATTATGCGGCCCTCCGTTTCTGTAATTCGACACAACACCAAATGCCCAGAGGATGGGGGCAGATGGCTGGGAAACTGGAAACTGTGTTCGTTCGAATTTCCTCTGCTAATATCTGATTGATGTCCGCGAGTTGTGTGACGGGCAAAAATTGCGCATACGCCTCGTTGCATTTGCGGCAATTTGCATACGTAGGCGACAAGGTGGATCCCCCGACCATCCCACCATTCCACCATCCCATCATCCCATCATCGTCATCAGGAGGAGCAGAAGCCAGGACAAGAGCAGTCACTCGATGGCCAGCAGGTTGACGCTGGTTGAATGCAAATGGCCAAGGCCTGAAACTTGAATTTCGGACATGGTCCACTCAGGCATGCGAATCGAATGGGATGAGGGCGGAGCTCCTCCGGCCACCACCTCCTCTGTCTGCCTCCTTTTCGATGGTAGGTCGGGCACCGACCACTTTTCCTTTGAGGCGGCTCCTCCGCACGGCGCAAATTGCACGCCCAACGAATTTATCGATTCTTGTTACTCGTTTTCGGGTTGCCCGCTCCGAAATTGCTTTCAGATATGACAGCCACACCCCCGAGCCCGCCCCTTTCAGGTCGCCGAACCGGAGGACAGTCCTCCTGTTCCTCCTGCTCCTCCCGATCCTGCAGCAGCAGCACCACCATCTCCGCTCGCATTCAATGCCGAATGGAATTTGCAACGACATCGAGGACAACGATGTTATGAGGCCGGCACGGCATGTATTTTGAAAACCATTTCGCTGGCTGCCTGGCTGGCTGGTCCTTTGTGGACCTTAAAGCTGCCCGGTCTCCAATGGAAGCTCGCACTCAAAGTGGGTTTTCCAGGGACGTAAGATAGGTGGTTGGGTGTTAAGCTACATACTACATACTAGATACTGTTTCGCTTCGAGAGCTGCACATATTTGGGATTTTTGTGAAAATCAACAATTCAAACGAAAATAGAGAAAAACTTTTGTGGCTGGGTAAATATTATCACCTCGGTAGCCTTAGTTCTGCTTTGGATTTTATTTATTTACTCGCTTTCCAGCCAAGTGGAATCTGGTTGCTGCTCCTCGAGAGCTTTTATTAAATGAAGGAAAAATGCAACCGAAGAATGCAGCTGCATCACTGGCTTCTCCATCGTCATCATCGTCGTCTTCATCATCATCATCAGCATGCATCAACAGTTTCACCCACTAGAACATCATGATAACGTCTGCTGCATAAGCTCATGGTTTAGAGCGTTTTGTGTCGTTTATGAAAATGGGTTGAGTGCAGCAGGGTATCTGGGGTAGTATGTAGATGGCCTGGACATGGAAATGGAAATGGAAATGGGATGCATGTGCATTGCTGCTGCTGCTGCTGCATGTGTATTTACCAAACTAAACCGAAATAATGCCCGAAACTGCAGTACCAACATCGATGTCGACGACTAGAACAATAAAATGCCGACGACTGCGAATGCGAATGAGTTGGGGGGTGCAGGAAAAACCCCCTACCATACCATACTACACTATACCGTACCTAAAAACCCGTAACCCCACCCAACCAACACCCTGTGCAAACCAAACAAAGCTCCTCGATGCCGATGACGATGATGCCAACGTTGACGTGGCTGGCCGTATTTGCCAGTTTGCCCAACTCAGCCTGTGGGCTCTGCGAAAATGGGGTGATGGTAGGGGTTCTATGGAAATTCAGGGGGAGTTTAGTGCCGGGGAAAACTAGAGTCGAGTCCCTCGGCCTCTACCCCTTCCGTTTCCCCCCTCGCCCACTGTGTTGTTTGCCATGAAATGCCTGTTTGTTTGCCTGGGTTTTGTGTACTTCAACATGGTCCCAGACCCCAGACCCCAGATCCCAACCCCAGATCACAGTTCCCATTTCCCGGTTCTAGTTTCTAACCTGACTCAGATGCCACACCCTGCAGCAAGCATACAGGGAGAGATATAGAGAGACTGCTTTCGCATTGAGCGGCGATTTGCTGGCATCAGCGTTATTTGCCGAATTTAATCAGCGCACTGACACGAGAGCACCACAAGACTCGACTCCCGTTGCCATCCGAAGTGCGGATATATGGCATGGCGAGCTTTTATGGCTACAAAAAGAGCCCCTTAAAGCGCTCAGGAATTTGCAATAGTCCGTCACGCGGATTTGGAATTCTGGGCCGATTGGGGATAGCCAGGCGGAACTGAAAGAAGTGAATTCTCTAGGAATTTAATAGAACTGAAAACAATAGGAACTTCAAAATAGTTGAAAACTCCCTATTTCTATTCTCCTCTTTATATTCAATGAGTCGAGTACCTCAACTATCAGATACCCATTACTCAGCTGATGAAAGTGCGAGGGAGATGGAGATATGCAAGCAGCAAAGCGACTGCTTGCACTGCTTTCATTGCTTACAATTCATTATTTGCTCATAACTTTCTAATGAATGGTTCGATTTAAAAAATGTCCTCTACATTCGATAGGTATTAATAAGGACAACCAATTTGCATTTATACTTTTCCAATTATATTTATATTTCTCTTTTTATATTTTTTCTTTAACTATAAGAGTAACGGGTTTAAAAATCTCTATCCTATTCCCTATTCGATTCTTCACTATACAATCCCAAAACATATTTTCTAAGCCTCCACTTAAGAGCTCACTTCAAAATATGATTTGAAAAGACCTTCCGAATATTTGAGTGTAATCCCCTGCCATCGAAATCGTTGCACAGAATTTAGTTCAAACATCAAATCCCATATCCATTGATTTATAACTCATTTATTAGCTGCAATCAGAAGATGGGGAGGGAGTGCTTATTCATTTCAGTTAATTTGGTCAAATGCAAATGTAATTTTGTAAAGTCAATTAAGTGAACCTCTGAGTGCAGACCACCCCGAAAAGCCCTTGACAGCCACATAATGCAAATCATAACTGCCAATAAATTATATGTTGAATAAATTATGCACAGAAACAATGCTCCCTCCACTGCACTCCACTCCATGGACTAATATTCCTGCTACTGCGGCATTTGTCACATTTTGCATTTTGGTTCATTGCAGCAAAATTGGTTTTCTCGCTTGGGTAAATTAAAATGTCACCGATTCCGAGAAAGGCCAAAATGCAAGCACCGCACCGCCAACTGCCCGCACCACCCGATCTCCCAACCTCCTAACCACCCAACCACAAGTGGTCCTCCGTCCACGCCGCCCGCAGCCCATTATTGTACACATAAACACATGTTTCCATCCACATCCTCGTCGCGCCGCCCCTTCCCGTGCCACCCATTATTATGGTAAATTCGTAGCGACTCATTCCGAATTTATGCCATTACCGCCGCCCACAGATCGCAGTCCTTTGACCCCCCACTTCCTCATCCCGGGAACCCTCACACACACACTCATATATGAAAAGTGGAGTGGACTAGCCGAAACCAACGAACATTCCTTGCCACACAGAAATGTCGCCGGTCGCATGCGATTATTCCACCACAACTAATTACAGTGGCAAACGGAACACAGGACCTCCTCCTGCTCCTCCCCTCCTCTCCGCTTTTCCCCCACCCTGATACATCCTGCTGTGCACCGGTGACGGCGCTCCTGCGACCAGGACATGTTTAGGTCAGCCACAGCACATTCACATGCCGAAGTGCACTCACCCTGGCCATGAATAATTTATTTAATAAATACATTCACAATTAAATCAAATGCGAAAATTGCGGCTGCCCCGCTTCGCCTTTTATTCGGGCATTTTGTTGAATTTTCGATGGGATCCGGGCGAAAAGCGGTTATAATGAGCCAGATGGGAGGGCCAAGTGATAGATAATGAATGAGTTTGGTGGTCAGAGAAGGGCTTTAGTACCAAAACTGGCATTAGGTTTCATTTTTGGAAATATTATAAAATTGTATGATCTAAAAATAGTTAGCCCTTTAGAAAACATAAAATCTGAATTAAGTATAATTTTAATTCGTAAGGAAACTTAACAGAAATTGTGTTAAAACAATATAATATTTTTACAAATAACTTTAAGGAGAGTTCTTAAGTTTTTAACTGAAGTTTGCCCAAAATAAAACATATTTATTCCATCATATCCAAATTCTTTTTAGTAAGTACCAGAACTAAGCTGACTTTCCATTAAAAGGTTCTAAATATTGAAATTCAAAAATCTAGGAATTTGATTCTAGGCGAGCTCCTTCTTAAATCCTTTTAATTTCCAATTTAGGAAAAGATTAAACTTTAAATAGTCCGACTTGCATATATCGGCTTCGAAAGTCTATTCACCTTGGGCCATATTGAAGTCCTAGCAATAATCACGCATCCCTTAGAAAATCGGAATCTTCGGGCTTAATTTACTTTCGCAATTTGCTCACAGGCCCCGGAGGCGGCGGCATTGGGCCCAACGTGTGGTGCA